CCGGGGTCGGGGTCGGGGCCCGCGCCGTTCCTGGCGCCCGTGGCCGCGCCGGCCGGGGGCATGTCGTTCCATCTGCAGATCGGCCTGAGCCGCGAGCCGGTGCTGCTGCTGCAGGACTCGTCCGGGGACTACAGCCTGGCGCACGTCCGCGAGATGGCTTGCTCCATCGTCGACCAGAAGGTGAGGCGCCGCGCAGCCCTGAGCACGGCCCCTTCCCGCCGGGCAGGGGGCGCTGCCCGCCCGGCCGCCCCAGCTCCCCGGGGCCGAGGGCTCGGCCGGGAGTCCGCCTGGCCAGCGCCCCGGGGAAGGGTCTGGCGCCCGCCGAGGTTGGACGGCCGCGTGCGAGGCACGGCGCTCTCTGTAGTCCAGGTCTCCTCCCCTTGCCTCGTCTTCTTAAACGTACGTTCTGTCTGCATCCTCTTCACCCATTTACATCCTGCCCGGGACTTGCCCAGGTATCTTGCCCTGTGCTCGTCGCGCCTCTCCCTACCCTTGAGACTTCCCGGCTCTCACGTCTCTTCCCCTTGGACCCTGGACCAGCACATTCCTGGCGCCGGCATCCTCCTTCCTGCACCAGAGGTCCCCCCCTGGGACACCCTCAGCGCGATTTCAGCACCACTCCCTTCCCCTGCAGGCCCCTCTCCTCGCTCGGATTGATGCTGAGGAGTCCCTGGAATAGCCTGCAGATGAGGAATTTCTCACCTGTCAAATAAGCGTTTAAGAGCGGATGATTGACATGGCCAGCTGTGAAAACAGCTGACCAGACCACAACTACCCACCTCTGTGTGAGCATGAGAGCAGATTTTTCAACTCTACGATCTGAAAGTTGAAGCCTTCTTGCTTTTCATCCCTGGGGCATTGCAGTGGGGGCACAGGCCTTGAAAGGGTGGGGGCACTGCCCAGGGGGACTCCAAGGCTGGCTGTGCCCTTGTGTTTGGGGTGTGGGACTTGGGACAGCGGCCCGCCAAAGGCAGGTTGGAAAACGGGCGGTTTTCCTGGGGCTGGCCACCTGGCCCCCAGCCCGCCCACAACTGTTAATAGTGTAATTCTGAATTTTAAGTTGTTTCTGTAGCAATTCAGAGGGATGTTGCATGGAAGGGGGTGATAAGAGTGTAAAGGAGAGAGGACCCTGGCGCCAGTCGGCTTAGTGTAAACAGCTAAGGTTTAGGGGGTGGAGACAGAGGTCTCTCTAAAAGGTGCTGAATTTCAACCCTGGACATCTGGCTAGTACTTGCCTCATAAAGATCACTTGAATAATCATGAATGCTTTCTTTAAACTATTTGGAGCAGAGTTTGCTAAGCCTGAGCATTGTGAATTGTGACTCTGAGCCCAGGAATATTAGGAAAAGCCCCAGGGAAAAAATCACTAATCAAGGAAGATGTAAAAGCTCTGGAGGCCAGACTAAGGTAACAATGAGACATAGGGATTTTTGTTTATTGAACGGAATGACATTTTTATATTACTCATGACTCAGTTTTTTTCCAACTTCCATGTAAATGACAGATTTTGTCAAATTCTGGTACAAGTCACATCAGGTGCCTCCTCATCAAAGATGAAATGTCTGTTACTGGTGAACAGGGGTCCTCTCCTAGGCACTGAAAGCCTTCCCTTAATGGAAGTTACAGTCTACAACAATCTCCATTAGGGTGCAAAGCAGTTAATTAAAGAACACTAGATAAGCACATAAACAATGTGTAATAAAACATCCATCACAGGATAACAGGGAACTCTGTGCTTTGTGACCTAGAAATGGCAAGAGATAGTCAGTGTGGAGGTAAGAAAGAGGGGGGATTCCCTTTGTCCCTTAAAGGTCTCTTCAAGTACTTTCTGAAGGTAGCAGTGTGAGGAAGGATGATAAGAAAGAGAGAAGGGGGGATGAATGGTCTAGGAGACAGCTGAGAGTTTGAAGTCATTTACAATTTACTATGTTAGACAGACTGGAGTCATGTTGATCTTATAGCAGAAGGTTCTCCTGACTTTTGAGTCCCTCACTTAAATTGTTCTATAATGTGGTTAGAGGGTTTTCATATCATTTGTTTGAGAGCTCCTTACATACTACCAGATCAAACTAGCTTAAATCTTTGAAAGTATTAGCTGTCAGTTCAGTTTATTTCAGCAACATTCATGGGACAATATTCAGATTGGGTCAAATTAATATGGACAGACTGGTTTTGGTCAGCTTTAACCTGCCCCTTCCCTCACAAGTACCCCTTGATGGAGTTTAGAATGGGGAGAAACAAGCTTTCTTCAAGAGGTTTGGGATTGGAATTTTGAATGGAAAGTGAATTCCAGTTATCTCAGTAGTTAACGAGGGATGTTTCATGGAGGCAGCTATATGCCTGCAAAGAGAGAGAGGCTGTAAGCACCTGTGGCACACAGACAGCCGGCCTGAGGATAGTGAAGAGGGTATGTAGAGAAAGTTCAGTTACGAAAAGGCCTTGAAATGAACATGAACTCAAATTACCAGAAGCCTCAGTAATCTTCTACATAGAGATATCAAAGCGAGGACAGCTGAAAGATGGATTTGCTATGGGGAGGATGTTTTTGAATGTCAAAAATGTTATGGCAGAAAGAAAAGTAGAGTTCACTCATGAGCTAATTGAGATCTGAGCCAAAGCCCTGGGGTAGAGACGTGGAGAAATACCAGAAACGGAGATTTATCAGCCCTGGTGACTGATTTAAAAGGGGGACCCTTTCCTTTTGTATTTTACTCTAGTAGTTCTTCTGTCTCTAAAAGAAGAGTTTGAAAAGTTGGACTGCTTGGGATAGCTCACGTGAGATCTCACTTGCACTTTTTAATTTTTAAAAAAGTTACAGCAAATGGAGAGAAAGATTAGAGATGTGGATTTGAGAGTTATTTATCTGTAGGATACTGTAAATAAATATTTACTGGATAGTGGGTTTAGACAGGTAAGTTTTCATTTATCTGTCTCCTTTCATCTTTCTTGAGATACATTATCACCCAGGCAGAAACAAGATTCAGTGGGCTAAAGATCCATCACAGGATAATGGGGAACTCTGTGCTTTCTGACAGTAGATGGTCAGTGTGGAGGTAAGAAAGAGCGGGGAGGTCCTCTGTCCCTTTCTTCAAGTTCTCTTAAAGTTCTTTCTGAAGGTAGAGCATTGTGAGGAAGGAGGAAGAGCAAGAGAGAGAAGGGGGATGCATGTTTTAGGAGACAGCTGAGAGTTTGAAGTCATTTACAATTTATTATGTAGACAGACTGGAGTCATGTTGATCTCATAGCAGAAGGTTCTCCTGACTTTTGAGTCCTTCTCTTTCATTGTTTTATAATGTGATTAGAGGGTTTTCATGTAATTTGTTTGAGAGTTCCTTAAATACTAACAAATCAGACTAGCTTAAATCTTTGCAAGTATTAGCTGACAATTCAGTTTATTTCAGCAACATTCACGGGATGTTTTCTGTGGAATGAGCCACTGAGGTGTACAGGGCTGAATAAGAGAGATCCTGTCCCTGAGAAACACATCTCTACGTTATTATTGTTATTATTTAGAATTTAGAGTACAGTGTTTCTTTAATCATGTAGATTTAGGAAGTGGCAGACATATGTTTGTACTTGAAAAAATTTGGTGATAACTCAAAAATTTTACTTTAAGATAAATGTACACTAAGTATATACTGAATTATATAACTAAATCATTATTTCTTTTATCTTGAAGTTTAGATGAAAAAAACCTAGTTTTGCTTTTTTGTATGTAACAATGTATGAATGTATAAGATATAATGAATTTCTTTTTTTTGTTGTTGTTGGGAAATATTAGCCCAAGGCTATATTTATATTATGCTTATTTCTTTACTTTGCAAGAATGTAACCTTGAAGGCTGGTTGTATATAAAGACATGCATTCTGTTACTTAGTGTGCATGATTATTGTTATTAAACAAATAGCAGTAATTGACCTCACTTTGAAACACTGTTAACTTTCTACTATCAAAGGAACCTTGAGTATATAGACTAAGAAGGAATTGTTTTGAAGCAAGGAACAGTATTCCAAAGAAAGAATTAGTTTGGCTTCATTGTATATTCTCTCTCTCTCTCTCTCTCTCCCCCTCTCCCTCTCCCTTCCTCCCTCCTTCTCTCCCTCCCTCTCTTCTCTTCTCCCTCTCCACACACACACACCCCCAACAACTTTTTTTTTTTTAAACAAGCAGTATTAATTTAGGAATGTGGTATGCAGTTAATATAACTATCTGTGCATTCCATTCATTTTGGCTATCTTATTAGTAATACAACTTATAGTTCTTTTTGAATTTACTTAAATGGAGTAATAACATCTATAAGATTCCCAGCACATAGTTTCACTTTGGACAATCATATACCTGACCAAAGAAACTAAGAGTGAGATTTTATACAAGATAGGTCAGTAAAAGAATAACAAAGGTTAGTGCTTTGGTTTGAGAGCAGCTTTTCTCTGCTTGTAGTTGTTTCACTTTCTTAATTATAAATTGTTTTCCTAACAATTGTAGTGTTATTTTTATCTTTATTGTTAACTTTAGCTACTCTACTTCTACACATATTGAGAAAGCTAGCAGTAATTAGCTGCTGGACCAACTCAACACGCCTGGGACAACAAAGTCCTTTTCAACTAATGATGGTGTTTGGTTCTTAGGTACATATTTTCTATTCAAATTTTATATTTGTCATTGTTGTGATACTTAAGTGATATAACTTTAATACCGTCTATTTAAAATTTTAATTTCTTTAAGTAGTAGTAGTATAATAGGATTATATTTTGGTATATATGTAATGTTTGTGATATCTATCTATACACACACACACAGATATATTATAGTATATTATCTAAGGTCTAAATGTATTTTGAAACGTATTTTTAAAAACCTAATTATCCATGTATAGCTGCCAGATGCTGAAGTATTGTTTTATATTTTGTAGGCTGTAAAAAGTGAGACCTCATTGTATATCTCATGGTCCAAAAGAGAAACTAGGCTTTATGTTTTTCTATCAATATGCAGAACTGGAAACCTTTTCTTACAGTTGTGTACTATTTAACAGTTTTTACAAGGGAAACATCCTTTGAGCCTCTGAATTGAAAGGCATTTAGCCTTACAGTCTTTAAGCTGGGAAGATTTGGATGATTGGCTGTTTTCACAAATATACGAATTAATTTGGACCTTTAGATCCAGGATTGAGAAACATTTGA